CATTACATTCATAAAAATATATTATCATAATTAGTTACTAAATTATATCATTAAATATCACATCTATTTAATTAAATCGCATGCGAGAAGAGAACGTGGGAGAGAGCGCAACAGGAGAAAGAGAGAATGATATGAAAAGTATAGGATATATTGCAACGGGTGAGAGAGATAGAACAAAACCCTTCTACCTCAGACTCCGGTGACGCGCCCCTTCCTCGGACCCTGTGTGGCATCTCCCACGCGCGCGCACACCGCATATACGTATTATAAAACATAGTTATTTAGACCCCGCCTATCTATTCTACTTTCCTGCAAAAAACTATCCCCTCCCTCACAATGTGTTTGTGGTACGCAATCGGTTTAAGAGCTGTACGCAATCTTCACACGTTCAGTATTGCTTTAGCCATTTGTACGAAAAAGTTCAACAGCAGCAGCAGCAGCAATGTACTCCGCTGTAGGAAGCAACGCACGAAAAAATTATTACGTTCCACTTCAGAATATTGATGAAACTCCTTCATTTACGAAAAGATGTGTCAAGTAAGTTTAAGAATCGCCCATTTTTATACTTTTTTCAAATTAACTATTTAATTAATTATTTAATGTTTCTTTTATATTTTTCCATAGCGCGCCCGTGCATCGTGCAGTTCGTATACTAGGCAGGAAATACGCATTGACACGTACGGGATACAAATTTTTAGAAATTGGTATCAACGTTGGCCCACCGAGCTACGTGGAGATTGCGATATTTTTTTTAGGAAAAGCTTTTTGCTTCAAAATTATAATCCTCATAAGAAATTTTAAAATTCTAGAGTTTCACTTAAAGTGTTTCACTTAAAGTCTTTCAATTCCTTTCGTCTCATATACGTATAAAACACAATATCAATCATTTTTATCGCAACAAATCTTTACGTACTTATCTTAGACATGCTTTTTACACTCATAAAAAAATTTATGAAAATTCTATCGAGTTTCTCACTTACATTTATACTTCTACTTACCTTAAAACATATTGGCAAAAAACATGTTCGATTGTCATGTCCTTTCCAAAAAAGAATAAATGATCGAGGCTCTTTTATCAAGGGAGACATTGCGTTTCAATATCATCGATTTCGATAGCAGCCAGATGTTGGCGCTCAATCGATTAATTATGAAACTTGTTCGTATTTA